GTAATTATGTACCCTTTAAGGCCGCTGAGATGTTTGTCATCCCATCAACAGCACAACGATCGCCAAGATCCTCATGCAACAAGACGCTTGGAAAAAGAAGCGAGAAGCGAAAGAGAACGAAGCTGTCAGGGGGAGGAAGAGGTGTGATCTGATCCCTCACTCCTTCTTGCTGAGTTTGGAGGGAGAGCGAGATGGCGGGTGAGTTGTTTGACTAATGCTCTGTTAGCTAATGTGTCCAGACCACCCACTGAGTTGCACCCATCTGTCTGGCTCTCATATTGTCTTGTAGTAGTGATGTGTGCTCGGTTGCATGAGCCCAGCACTCTCAGCCCTGTTCTGGGGAGGCGCGTGCAATACTCCCACTGGTAGCAAGCTGGCGGGAGTCTGCTCTGGCTTTCATGATAATGTATGCATTTTTCTGCTGCTTTACACCGCTAGATGCAAGCCATCGTGTTTTTTGTTCACATGAGAGTTTGGGGGGGAAAGCAGATATATTTGGCAAGGTTGCCACAGATGTTCTCCTTAGTCAAACTGCACAAATTGGAAGTTATGGCCAAAGCTAAACTCTGATGTAATATGATGCAAACTGTAAATTGTGTTCTGAAGAACACAAACATCTGTAGTTGTTGTATCTTAGAATATAAATGTCTTGTTTAGTGCCACAGGAAACCCCAACCGGCAGCGTGAAAGGAAAATGGTTCAGAATCAAACATTACAGTGCATAGTTCTCTTTTGCAACCCCCACTGGAACCGAGTGAACTGCCTTGCTGCCTATTACCTATTGCTGCCTTCTAATACAGCATCCTAACTAAAATGGATATTGATAAAAAGTACCATATCAATAGCATTCCTCATGCAAAATGTACAACAGACTTGAATCAGAACTGAATTCAATAGAGTTAGCGTGTTGATTAAGGTCCCAAAACTCTAATAAGCATAAAAACACATAGCAAACACAAATATTGGGAAAAATGGTATTTAATTTAGATTAACCATTTTTTCAAAACCATTCACACAGAAGTACATTTCAAACCAAGCAGCTTTATGTTGAACGACTTGAACATCAGCAAAAGCTGCATGTGGAACTTTTTCGCCCTCACGTGAAACTCTCAATCATATGGATTTCTGTTGAAATGATTGGATTTTGCCCACGAAATTTTGCAGAGCTACAGTAAATGTGACCACACCTTTATATTTATACTCAAAAAATGTTTCGCTTTGTGTTGGTCGGACTTTTCATTCACTTCATTTTTGGGTGGATTTTTTTCACAGAGCTCCCAGTACATTATGGGATTACTTTCTACACAAGTGTATACACATGGTGCCTCATATCTGATATTTGCTATCTATTCAATGCATGGTGACAAGCTCAGTGAAAAAGAAATCCATCCCAGATGGTGGATGAAGAGTAATGTCTATTATAAAAATACCTTACAGGGCTCGACAATAAGATCTGCCCAATGGCCAGACCAGTGTGAACGGCCATCGATTGGGCCACTGCTGCATAGTCACAAAACTTTGTCATTGGCCCGTTTTTAAGCCTTGCCGATTAAAATATTCAAGCGCAAGAAGACACAAAAGACAACTCAATTTGGTACTCAGAAACCCGCGTCTCAGACAGTGCGGGAATACTGAATTGAGTTCTCTTTCATGTCTGCTTGCGCTTGAATGGACAAATTCACACAAAATAATGTCAAAATGCCTGCCTTGGTGAGAATTTTTGTACACATTGTCGGTTATATCTTAAGTAAACGTAAACAGTTGAGAAGTAAAACGCATGTGTAACACTATATTGCCTGGTATTCGATTTTAAAGTGACAGTTAATGTTAATCAAAGAACAAAGGACAAAGAAAAAATCACTCACTGCTCCTGACTGAATAACTTTTGTAACTTTAATAAGGAATAATCTTTATTTAATTTATACAGTGAAGACAGTGTTATTTTACATTTGATTACTTTTTTCAGTCTCTGTAGGCCTACATGAAAACTACTGTAAGACCATCCTGAAAAACTTAATAATTTGATTTGTTCTTAATCTATTACTAGCTATGTTTCCATCCACACGTTTTTATCCGCATTAAGTGATATCGAATGAAAAATGCCTTATGGAAACAGTAAAATTCGATTGAATTTCATGAATATCGACTCAAATGAAATACGATCGGTCTCATCGGTTTTTATCTTGATCGATATACGGCTTATGCGATAAACGCGGATGGAAATGTTATTAGGGTGCGATCCATTTTGCCTAGTAAAACTTTGTTCGCAAATGTTGGCTTGAATGTTGTGCAATTCGGTGAGAAAATGAATGGAAACACCTTAACATGTCTCAAATCAATTCGATATACCAATTTGATCGCAAAACAGCATGTGACGTCATTACGCACAGGTTTTTATCCGCTTTAAAGCCGTTTAATGGAAACACACTTTCACCAGCTTTATTCGCATGAGGTTTTTTACCGAACTTCAGATAATTCGATTGACAAGTGGATGGAAACATGGCTACTGACTGTTTATTATCTTCAATAATATTTTAAAATTATATTAGTTAGGCTAGTAGTTTTTGCTGTGGTACAGTATAAAAAGTTGCTATTGCATAGGCTGACTATGCAGGGACAAAAAGTTCTCAGATTTCATCAAAAATATCTTTATTTGCATTCCGAAGATGAATGAAAGTCTTATGAGTTTGGAACGACATGAGGTTGAGTAATCAATGAAATAATTTTTCTTTTTGGGTGAACTAACCCTTTAAGGTTGCACGGGTCAAACGTAACAAAAATAATACCTATTTTTATTTATTTATTTATTACTGTTTTGTGGTGGGGCCACAATGTGAACCACTGGCCCGACTGGGTCCAGTAGGGAAAGTCCTTAGTGTTGAGCCCTGCCTTATCATAGAATGAGTAGTATGCTATTCCAAAATCACGATACCTTAAATTGTTCACCAGGTTTTGAAAAAGAACCAACATCTTATTTTGCCTGCAACACATACACATACGAAAGAACAAAATTAGAGGTTGTCAAGAATCTTCTCAAAAAAATATATCAACTTAGACGTTCATGGCAATGATTATAATACTCCATCTAATCATTTTGGAGGTCTAAATTGCCGTCCTCGAGCTGAGGTTGTCAGATTGACACTTATTTATTTGGACCGTGTTCAACAAAACACAGTCCCTGCGTTTATTTTTATTGATGTCGAGCAGGAAGCGGCATACGGCTGCTGGCAGCCACCCTGAATTATGAGGAAGGTGATTACAGCCCCTCTCTCGCTCTCTCCATAGCTAAAGATCAGTGAGACCGAGAAAGACAGCTCTTGTAATCACACTTAATAATCTTGTTGTTTGTGAGTGTGCGTGGTAATGATGCTGGCACTTCAGCATTGGCTCACAGGGGACCCACTATTGTTTCATCGTCTCATTGCCTTCCACTGGCACCACAACAGGTGCCTATGTGAGGTTCCTGGCCAGTTAATACAAAAAATAAAGATTATAGTCCATTTTTTTAAGCTTCTCTGTCTATACCATTGCTTAATCCCAGCAATGGATCTAATGACCATGCATTGAGTGGACCAATCACTGTAATGTACTTCAACTTTCTCAGGATTCCATGTTTATGGCCTCCATCTCCATGTTATGATCCTCATAAAGTTTCTCATAATAGCTCAAAGTGCTGTTTGCTAAATTAATGACGTGAACCCTCTTGTTCTTTTGGCATCAACGTCTTGTTGTTTTATATACTTCTCTGTTTCATTTGTGACCTGAATAAGACTGAGCATCTAACCTAAAGCGCATTTGAATGATGTTGGCATAGTCAGTGCCGCGTTTGTCAAACCCAATGCACAAGAGTGTACACGACACGGGAAATACACACTCAAGAGAATTAGAGTGATTCATTCTCTCCGAAAAATGATTCACCCTTTTAATTTTGAGAAAAGCAATGATAATGTCCAAGGAAATTCATGTTTCCTCTCACTGAACACGATAAACAATTTTTATGTGTGATTATATGTGACATTTTCCTGCCCTTTTGACCTGAATCATCTCTTCTAGAAGAGTAATGTAGTTCTAAATGAGGGTTCTGGAAGAGCTAGTTCATCTAATCATGATGCAGTATATAAACAGCTCCTTGCCTCACTATGACGATTCTGGAAACTCAAATACATTGATTTCTGTATTTATAATAACTTCAGTAAGTAGTTCTGGTGAGCATGACAAGTCTCTCTACATTACATTCAAGGATTATATGAACAGGTTAACGCATGTAACCGTTTCAGGGAGAGAAAAAAACTGGTCATAGAACAAACTAGTCTCAATGACAAAACTTATTTAAAGGAAATAGTTAACACAAAAATAAAAATTGTCGTTTACACACCCTTGAGTCATTCCAAACCTGTATGAGGTATTTGGGGGAAAGCTGACTTACATTGTATGAACCTAAACTTTTTTTATTATTATTTATTTATCTTATCTGGTGTTTTACAGAAGAAGGAAAGTAATACAGGTGTGGAATGGCATGAGGGTGAGTAAATGATTCAAGAATTTTCAAATGCTCAAATCCCTAAAGGAATAGGCTACTTAAAGACGAACTGTAATGTTAAAAACAAATGGATAGGTGCCAAAGTGTTTGTGAAGTGTTTCTATGCAGCATATTATTAATTTCTGAACAGTAGCCTACATTAGTTTTGCACCACTCTGTTAGTTCAAAATTCATATGGTAATTGTATATTCAGCACATTTAACCATGGCCATTTGGAACCCACCTTCAATTGCTTTATAACCGGTCATCAATAACATGTCAAGAGCCTGTAATCATATTGATTCACTCACCATGAAGTAGCACCTTTTACGCTACTACTGTATGTGATGAATATCTGAGCTGGTGCATTTATTCCCATATACATATGGTGATGAAAGAAATTAACTTGGAAAATAAGACACGGATCCAGCATGCATGCAGGTCTTCACCTGTTACTGCTAATGCGCTCTGACAGACTCACCTCTGCAAAGCATGAGCAATATGAGCCCAGCTAGGCTGAGACGCAGCATCTTCAGTTCCTCTGAAGTTGGTCGGGGAAGGGAGAAGGGAACGGGTCAGTTTTTTTCCCACCGACAAATCTTCCTTGGGGTCTACAGGACGGTACACACAGCCTTCATCACTTTACAAGCAAGAAACAGAGTATCGGTTAGATGTTTCCCCCTCCGAGCATCTCGACACGAGTCTCTCCTGCGGTGCAGTTACTAAATGTTGTCATCCTGACAGCCATGATTTGTTTCGTTGGTTTTAAATGTCTTCTGGAGTGTCTGAGGAGCACCTTCAACACTAAAAATATATCCCTTGAAAAGTCCCAAATTTGTAGTGCTGTGCTACAAGTGTCTGTTGTTAAAAGCAGTCTGGTGGTCGCGAATGTGTGGTCCGTCTAAATAAGCCTCAGTACACACAGCTGTGTGGTGGAGAATCTCAAAGGAAAGTTGAACATCGCTTGTGAGGCTCGGCAACGCTTCGTAATGATGTAAAAAAATATCCACTGAAATTCCAGGAGGCGCGAGGTGTCCACGCGTTAACGAATAAAGTCACTTTTAAACGAGAATGTCAGTAATTAAGAACCATTTAGGAGCTTTTACATAAACAAGTCCTCATTTAGAAAAGATGACGGCAATATATAGCCTACTCCGAGCTTCCATAGTTATTTAATACACTTTAAGAAATGAAATTGTAGGCTAGTCCTCCTGTCGGTGCATGTATCGCCCGTCACAGTTTTGATGCCGAAAAGCAAGTCATAAACTTAACAATGTGAGGAAAGAAATAATAAAAATAATTTATTCTGTGAAAATGCTCGTTCTTTCTCTCACCCATGAAGTCCACAGTGAATATTCCTTGTGCTTTCGTCTGCTCTTTGGGTTCCGCAGCGACAAGCACAGTGAGTCATGAAACACTCTCTCTCTCTCTCTCTCTCTCTCTCTCTCTCTCTCTCTCTCTCTCTCTCTCTCTCTCTCTCTCTCTCTCTCTCTCTGACTGGCAAATACTGCTGGACTGGAAGGGCGGCTTTAGAATGTCAATTTAAACTTCAAATGTAGCCTACAATAAAATAAGATGAACGAGTCAACTTCATTCGAACTGTTATAAATAGTTTGCTAGCGATGTGTAGCTTAGGCTATGTGTGGATGCATGCATTGCAAACAAGGAACAACTACTTTAATACACCTGTTGTGAATGGTTAATCTGGAGTAGATTAATCGATCAATATGGCCCATGTCTAAAATTTGCGGAAAGGGAGGAGCCTTGATCCTAAAGATGGAGGCTATTATAATTATATTTTACATATTATTCTATCCCATTGCAGTGAGTTATGGTTATATTATAATAAGAGTGATGATGCAGGTGATGATAGGCTAGTATTTGAGTGATTGGACCCTATTGTAGGCTACTGCATTTGCTTCAACAAGCGTGACAGTGCCCTCTAGTGGTGAAACTCGTGTCCATGCCACTGTCTATGGTCCATGCATGGCATTATGCTGATGTTGCGACGTAAAGCGTGCTGCTAACGGCGCTCTTTTTTTTTGTTGTTGTTGTTCTTTCTTTCTTTTTTACAAGATTTGGTGAGTAACAAGTGTTTACTGGGATCTGTCATATTTTGCATTTAAGGTAGGCGAATACGTATCGTCTAAAGGAAAATCATGGGTTAATTGTTATTATTATTATTATTAATTTCTCTATTGGTCTCTATAGAGAAATGTACCTTGCTCGTTACATAGGCCTACTCAACATTCAGTTTCACGTGTTTTCGTCACTCAACTGGTATGTCGTTGCTGTCCGAGATTTTGAATTGTTTCCCTCAACCATGAAAGGATAGAGACCTGAGACCAAACAGTTTGAAAGTGTCTGCGTCTGTGTCTGTACAAAGTTGAAAGTTGACTGTTTAATGAGGCAAGCGTTGAGGCAGCTTGTGATTGGTTGTCTTTTGCTAAAGAACTCGTTGTAACATCCCCTAGCACTAAATGCATTAAAATGACATTGAAAACATGCTTAAACATTCACACTGACTTTATTATTTTTTGGCACCCTATAGCTATCCTAAAATTCATCTTATAAATTAAATGAAGCCTATTAAAATCATTTTCATCTTGGAGTAACCGAATAGTCCATCAAACACACTTTTCTTCCTACAGGTTGGAAATTTAATGTGGCCCACTGTGAGGGTCTGGCTTTAACCTTGTACTCACTCACACCATGCTCAACAGAGATATCGACAGAAATAGTAGCTGATGACTCCCCTACCGCTCAAGTCAGCAATTACTGTCAGTTCACAGAGGGAAGATGTGTGTTGATTTGGAAAGAAAGAGGCATTTAGGAAGACCCACATGCACAGGCATCCAATTAGCAAACACATTAATTGCTTTGCCAAATTCTAGGCAGGGTATTGAAAGTTTTCCAACCATGCTTACAAAGAGTCTTTTGTAATTGGCTGCAATGAGACACCTGTAATAAACTGTGAAGTAGAAAACCTACCAAACCGCTAACACAAACAGAACATTCATATAGAGTACCATTGCAAAGAAATTAAGTGAGTATTGACCCCATTTACACTCTCTCCATTTGCACTCAGTGCCATATCTTCTCTGTCATTTCAGTGTATTCACCAGGTTGATTGCCTTGACCCATGTCAGGTGATTAACATTTATCAGTCTCTGGGCAAGACCTTTCTCCTGAGGAGACGTTTCAACTGGCCTGCTCTTTTAGCATCCTTTGACAACGTTTTTCTCATTACTGGTTTCAACACATTCACATGTCAGTACATATCATGATGGTTTAGCTTGTGATGCCTGCTGTAATTTATTATTCATATAGGCAGCTGCATGTTTCTTTTATGCTCTATTAGGAGCTTCACACAACTACATGCAGTGATAGTGCAGGAGTGTTATGGGAACAACTGCTGTGATGCTAAAGGCAACATGAAAACATATTTGGCACTGTTTACTTTCTTAATACATGTTCCTAGTCTTGAAAATACAAAGCTGTTCAAAGGTTTGTGGCCTTGTTTAAAGATTTTTTAATGTATTTGAAAGTCACATATGCTCAGCAAGGCTGAATATATTTTATGAAAGATACTGTAAAAACAGCATTATGAAACAATATTACAATTTAAGATAACTAATTCTTATTATGATAATGTAATCGCATGATCCTCCTTCAGAATCATAAATGCTGATTTAGTGCTCAGGTAATTTTTTTATTATTATCAATGTTGAAAAGAATTCTACTGCTTAATATTTTTGTTGATACCGTGATTCAGGATTCTTTGATGAATAGAAACTTCACAGCATTTATTTGAAATATATTTATTTTTCACTGTTGATTAAAGCTACAATATGTCATTTTGCTAACCTCTTACAATAACAAAGGCGTAGAGGTCTGCACGGGCTTTAAACTGAAGCCCGAACCCGGCCCGTACCCGCGATCATTTAACCCGACCCGACCCGACAATTACATTTACATATTAAGCCCGAACCCGACCCGAACCCGAGGTCTATTCTGTTTCTCACAGCAATACCATTTTTGCAATATGCTATGTTGTATTTAATGATTGCTTGACTGACATATTAAACAAATACATGTAGGCGCAGCGGCCCTATCAGCAGGCAGCACAGTAGTAAGAGAAAAAACTTACCAAGTAATTTTTTGCTTTATCAGACTCATGGTTTGCTTGTTGTCGTCGGCTGTCTGTATTGTTACTGAAATAGGGCGCGAGAGCGGTAGCACATGCGCAAAACAGTTTTGTGATATAAATGATATGATAAAATAAAACAAATAATTAAAAAAAATATATTTATATATCATTATATTTGAGAGAGAGAAAATCGCGCACATATTGCACATCTGCGCACGTAGCCTATACTTTCTCTCTCTCGCGTGCCGGTCACCACAACACAGCAAGCAGGCAAAGCACACGGCACGCAAACTATATATAGCCTATTTAGTTTTTCTTAGTTAAACCCGAACCCGAGGCTGTTCATTAACATTAACCCGAACCCGACCCGAAACCCGCACATTTTTCGGGACCCGTCGGGCTCGGGTCGGGTAGCAGACCTCTACAAAGGCGTAGGCTGATGACGCAGTGATAAGCGGAATCATGGAACTTGCCGTCATGCTGATGGATCTAATAATGTTTATGGATGAGTGAAAACATTCATGTTTTTTAACATGACTGTGGTATGAAGCAGGGCGCGATTGCTAATGAGAGACAGATAACAGCGCCACACGCGAGTCCCGCGGATATAAAGGAATTAGGACATTTAATTCTACCGAACTACCAAAAAGTGCTGAATTACTACTCATATGGGTCAGTTTATTTGACGAATTAAACTTGTGAGGTAACGCAGCGCTGTTTCACTTGGTCTACACTATCATACTAAACTGCATTTGAGTGTGTTGAAAGTTCCCTTTCGAGAGGTTCCTCCTATTGCGTAAGCTTACGCTATGGGGAAAACTCCTTTTCTCGAGAAATATTGAAGTCTTTATGTAAAACGCATTGCAGCTGCACAGCATACAGCAATGAGCGAGGCAGCTCGGTCATTGGCTGTGCTGCGGCAACTTGCACGAACCAATGACGGGGCGACTCTGAACCCGCTTCCAATGAGCGTGCTTCGCGCCCACGCGCGTCAGAGCCCGCCAAGATGGGCGTGGCCAAGGGCTATATATTGGGCGCCCCGTCGTCTGAGTTCTTTAGATTTAATCTCCTTCAGCAAAGAACCTTCTCTTCGCTGGATCCTCCGGATTTGTTGGAGTCTTTTCGCCGCCGCCGTCGACAAGCCTACAGCAGGACTGCTTCGAGGACGCCGGCGCCTTCAGCCGCCTTCGATTGCCCTTCTGCTAAACCATCCGGCGCGCACCATCTATATCCTTTTTCAAAGCTATCAGTGTTCGCCCCCGCGACACTTTTTCTAAAAGAGCAAATTTCACAAGGCGTTGTTTCAAATGCCTTCCTGCGCCTCGTGTCGAGGCCCTCTTCAGGACGGGTATCGTCACATCATCTGCGCCCGCTGCTTGGGACCGGACCACGCAGAGGCTGCCCTTACTCGAGGCGGATGTCCCGAGTGTGACGCCCTGGGCCTCACCGAGCTGCGCGCTCGCTTCGCCGTTTTCACCGCGAAAGAGCCCACCTCTTCCGTGCTGCCATCTCCTCTAGTCGAGCCGCGAAAGAAAAAATGCCGCTCACAGAGGCCGCCAGGAGCACGCGGTTTGCAGTGATGTCACGCCGGGCCAATCCCCGCGTGCTTTACCACCACCCGAAGACTCCCCGCCGCCAGTCCAGTTCACACAGGCGGACCAGCACCCCTCCAGCGGAGCGATGGGGCTCGTCTCGTTTGGCGCGTCAGGGGATGACGATGATAAGGATGACAGTTTTTCCTGTGATGCTGCATCCGACGATTGGCCGGGCTCGTCCTTCGACCCCGCGCCATCGACATTAGCGGGCACGAGCGCGGGCTCCAGCATGGACTCTGAGATCGTCCGCATT